GGCGCGCGTGCTTGGGTACGACGCTGAGAACAACGTGACTGGTGGTACAGCTAATGGAGACCGCTCGTAACACCACTGCCAGACAGCTTTAGATGCGAAGCAGCTCTTTGACTAGCCTGTGTAACGCTGTCCGCGCCGACACGCCGCAGTTGTTGGAACGATGCCAAGTAGTTCTCTCTGTCCCTCCCGTATCTCTATCCTTATCCCTCTTAATCCTCCCTATCCCTTTTAATCCCTCCTTACCCCCATCCTTCGTGTGTCACTGTTGTGGTGTGGCACTATGAGTCAGACACTTACGGGGCTCACTTTTATATTCTTTTCTTTCTTTTAAGAATCACTTACACAGGTCAAGTCGCAGCTGCGCGTTAACGTCGCTCTTTCCCACACACCAGCAGCTGCCGGCTCCTCCCAGCACACCTACGTTGTGTTGCTCCTCCACCCGCTCGCAACACAATTCTCTCTTGCTTCACTCTCTCCACCACCCGCAACGCTCGACCGCGTGTAGAGTGGAAACACTCGGCTGGTTTGTCTGCGATGAAACTTACACGAAACCCAACCCGCCTCCCGTGTCTTTGCGTTTCAAAGAAACATTCACTCGAGTAAAGGCTACCCCGAGTTTCGCTTCAAACTGTTCTCACAGCACTCTGTCGGCGCCCATTTCAGCCGGGTCAACAGCGTGCGCAGCGCTGCTGCTTAGTATCCCATCATGAGGATGGTACATAATTGTTTTTCTTTTCTCCTAGCTATATACAGCTTTCGCTATGAAATATAATTAGGTGAACCATAATAAAGATCTGAAGGGGTCACTTTCTGGTCAGACGTTTGTCATGAGGAGGTTCAAATATTTCGAATAGTGGAAATCCCAGTGCGAATCAAATCAAATAGCAAACACTAATAGAAAAATATTCCAAATTTTGAATATTCACACACCCCTACAAATAACATATTGCTACGGTATTAGCCGGGCATGTAAAAGAGGAAGACGGTATTTTCTGGTGTGGTCTGAGGGCTGGTGAAATGTCTGTAGCTGCGGGTGTCCGGTTTCCGTCTCCACCGCGAGGCATCTCAGCCAGCAGTGGTAACGGGGGCAGTCCAGCAAGGCGGCGTCTTCGTCGTCGATCAGAAAGAATCGTGTTGCTTGGTTGATTACCCAACACCTCCACCACAAAACAGTTACTGTTGAATGGTTTATTTAGAGGATGAGGATGAGATACGGCCACCAGAAGTAAAGATGAAGTCCTCCGGCCGTACCTGGCTACCTCGTCTTCCTCTTTTTCATGTCCTGCTCATACCGTGACAATATCATTGAACGAAGCAATGCCCTCTGGCAGCTAAGCCATCGGCTGCGTGCTCAGTTCCTTCTATGGCGCCACGGGGAGATAAGGCAGGGAATCCAACATGTTTGTGCAGTGTGAACTACTACTACACATTAAGTCTTAATGTTGTCGCTGTGGAGGCTCACCATATGCACTGGTATGTTTCAGTTTGAAATGTCAGAAACATTTAAGAAATAGTAGGGACGATCCTTGAGCTTCGCTTTTAAGAGTTGAACGCCTGCTGCCCGTGAATTGTGTTCGAGACCCCTGGGCTAAGGACTCTTGCCGCTAAGCTCGAGAAGTTGAGTTCGATTAACGACCACGCTGGCCATTTTTTTATAAGGGCGAAACGCCTCAGCGATGTATCAAGAGTTTAGTGCCCTTTGAATTAACCGACATGCCAAAATTTATTCGCAGTCTTTCCTGATGGCGTGCCTCAAAACGATTATCTTGGCCGATAAATAAATATTTAAAGAATAAAGGCCACGGCAGCTATGTTTTGCTAAGGTTCTCACGCAGTTATACGACAAGCGGAGAGCCTCGCTTATTGTCGCAGAGTTGTACTTGCTGGCAACTTTGAGCTTCTAATCAAAGCTGAACCTGATTCTGTGCTATTTTACCTGCCTCTTTATCGATCGAAAGTTTTACATATTCCCTCGGTGCCGATTCACAGGTTGTAGGGAAGTGCACGTGCCCTACTCAGTGAAACAATGTACAATATTGATTGCTTGTACATTGTACAACAATGTACAAACAATGTACTGTTTCCGGTACTTTCACGCATTCTCTAATGATCGACTTGTCCTGAATACCCAGTTTCCAATGTCCACCTGCGGTTACGTTAAGAGCGCCATATAGTCCCGGGCTCTTAACGAGGGGAAGCCACCGGTCGTCTGGAGGGGCTAGGCTAATGGTTTCCGGTTCAAAAGGCTTCGGTAGCGGACATCTCTATCGCCCCGATCATACGCTTGGGCGGCTAAAGGAAATCAGCCGTTTCGGGAGACAAAGTTTACGTTTCATGGTTAGGTGAGCCCGCAGAGAACCTCCGAAAGAGTTGGATACCACCAGAAGTTGCACTTGGGCAGCGGTTTTCTTCTTTTTGTTTGACTTGCATACGAAGTAGACAGGCAAACTCTGAAATGACAAACGACCAAATTAACCTGCTCACCTGCAGTAGTCACATTTTGCACAAGGTAGTGGGGGAATATTGTGTGACGCTAGTGCTGGTACACAAAACCTTCACTGAAGCCACTCTGGATAAAGCTTAACTTTAGTTCGGAGCTTTACTAGTAAAAACTGTCATTATTCTGTCATACGCCACAACGGGGCATACCACGCTGATTTTACGAAAGTAGTGCGTCCACATTACCACCCCATCTGGTGGGGTCGCCGCGGTCGGGAATCGAAGCAGCGTCCACGAGTTTAGCAGGGTGGCACCTTCGCTACTTTTGTACCACACATAAATGGCTTGTGGAGCGAGTTGGTATTGCATCTTGAACTGCTATGTGGCATAATAGTACGTTATGTTGGGCTAGTTGGTACATATTAGGCTGAAATACGTGGCGCAAGGTTGACCAAGAGAAAAAAAAGACGAGACAGAAAGAGCGCCAACCAATAAACCTATAGCACGGCAAGAAGCAGAAGCGATCAAGTGTACGTAATCCTGAGCCTAAGTAGAAGGTAAAACAGGCTGCAAAGGGCCCCTTGTAGAAGAAATGAAGCTCAATAGTACTTTGTGTTGGGCTAGTTGGTACATATTCCGGTTGTGGCACTTTCGCTACTTTTGTACCACACATAAATGGCTTGTGGAGCGAGTTGGTATTGCATCTTGAACTACTATATACCATCTTATAACACAGTCTGTCCCCACTGCGGGCTTAACAAATGGCATATATTTGTCACACCAAGTTAAAGCTCTGTGTGTGCGTGTGTGTGTGTGTTCATGTGTTTGTCACAGTAAGACAATCGTAAAGCTCTGTGCGCGCGTCTGTGTTTATGTGTGCGTGTGTGTACGCGCGCGTGTGTGGGCAAATTTTGTTAAAGACCGTTTAATTTCCTGAAGTTTTTCTTACAACCTGTCATAGCAGTCATGACGATCCTGCAGCTATAATTATAACCTTTTCGAGCGGTACACTGACGTAATTAACCTTTATCACGGCCCGTCTCAACGATAATTACATACTCCAGTTCGTTCGCTTCGTTTTATTCTACAACATAGCTCTTACTTCCAGGCCGCACATCGATGCCTCACGGCTGTCACACCGGCCCCACACCGCTCAGCAATTAGCAGAATAGGGGTCCCGACATTTGGAACATTGAGCATTGCGCCGTCGATACAGGCCAGGCGTCATTTTTCAGGGGCAGCAGGCTCACCGGACATCGTCGTCAGTTACGACCTCTCTGTCTACGCCCATTGAAAGAACCCCAGGGACACTTATGATCTCGGTGTCGAGAATAGCCGCTGTGTACGAACGTACGTCATTTGCTTCTTGCCGGTGTCAAGCCAACTTATTGCAGTAGAACAAGCAACTCAGTGGCCCATAAGAACCGACGCCCACGCTCATGGACCTAGATTGTCTGTGCAGCCCAGGAAACACCGCCGCTTCAGTCAACTTAACAATTGACTCTATACCCGGCTCTTTTCAAGAACTACACTTAATGACAGAGCCTTGCGACCATATTATCGGAGTTCTGATCTTGACGTTGCGGTTTATCCTTCGCTTCCCTCACGCAAGTGAGCTTTCTTTGCCGCGGCCAAAAGCCCTTTTTGATCCTTAATGGAGGGCGGGTCTTTGTGTTCCTTGGTTCTCTGGAAAAGCATGAATAGCCTAGGATGACTATTCATCACTTGCATTCATCAATTGCACAATACGGGGCGGCGCTGCTAGCAAGGACTGGGTGCTTATTGGACGTTAAGTAAATAAGCTGGTGTGCCAGAAAGAGCTAACAGATTTGTGTGAGCATATACAGTCATTTCTCTTTTCGCGCTGTCTCGGGAATAATTCTCATGATTTCATCATAGCGGCGTATAGATAGAAAGAAGTTTTTTTTAAACTGTTCTTACAATAATATTAGCCTTTCAATCGTACTACTGGACGCGATGTAACGCACCGTAACGTAAAAAAAAATAATTACTCTGAACCATCGTGCCTTCTTGCATGAAGTGCTTCTCTTCATACCGTAATTGTGCTTTTTCCATCTTTTTTTCTTCTGTATTGTTTGCTTCAGAAGAGCAAATTATAACTGTTGGAGTGGCGTTCATTGCACACATATAATGGTTGTCATGCCGAGTCAAGTTATACGCTCTGTATTCTTCCTTCAGTCACCCTGCATTTCTTTATTTATTTGACTATGGTAGAATTCTTTATTACAACCTTTTACATAGCACGGATGAAAACAGCGGCAGTGCCTTAGTGATGGTCGTGGAGGCGGCACGGCGAGGTCACTGAGGCTTAATTGTGCTTGTAGAAGAAGGCCGGAACATTCATCTATATAAGAGCACACACATAAGTCGATTAAGAATTGTGCTGTGCATGTCACTGTTATAACACATTTGGGATCTCGCGCAACATAGCGTCAAGCACGAAAGAAGTGGGCAGCTCCCATAGGCCCAATATGTTCAGACCTTGAAAAGTTTTCTGATGACACCATTTAATTTTATGCTCTTTCTTTCTTATATTTCAGGAATGGTTCGACGAGTACCTCACTTGGGACCCGTTGGAGTTTGGGAACTTCAGCAACCTCAGGCTGCCCTGCCACAAGATTTGGCTGCCTGACATCGTTCTCTACAACAAGTCAGTCTGTTATTACACCATGTCTCAAAACTACACAAGTCCGCATGTGCATGGCATGTGTGATAATGAGAACCGACCGAACAATAGCACCTATCTACGCACGACTATCGACATTGCGCTCCTTCATCGTGCACACTATTTCCCAAAGTCCGTTGCGTGTAAAAGAAAATGAAAACAGTGGACCCTTTAGGACTGTGGTGCTTTTCGCGAAGATTAGAACCTCGGAGTTATGCGAAGGTTTTGCATATCGTCTCCAGCAGCGGCGAGTTTTTTTTTTTTTCTTAAGAGGCCCCTGCAACACATTTTTACCGTGAGCACGAAACACACCGATCAATAGTCCACACGTAAGCAAAATATTTTAGTGCTGCACAAGACCTGCAATTAACAACTAATTCTCAAAGACCGCTGGAAATTGCTTTTTGCTCTCTCGAAATAATGACTCACACCCATTTAGTATTTATAATTTGTAGGTTACCGGTGAATCTAGCCTTGCGAAATTTGCAAGCAACTGCCCGCCCGGTTTCTGCTGTTCAGATTGTATTGAACTAATATTCTTTTTAAAATCAAAGCGTGCGCTCTTAGAAAGCCGAGCGCAGCGCGACGCAACCCTGCATAAGCCTCTAAGTCGTATACACCCAAATCTGCAGTCACTTGCCGATTTACTCATCGTAAGCTGCATAGTTACTCTGCCCGCCGCATGATGCCACTACGTGCCTACAAGCGCGCTTGCGATCACACGAAAAGTAATCACAGTTAGGTAAGCCTCGCGTTCGAAGAAAAAAAACGTGGATGATGCCTTTTTCTAGCAATTGGTATAAAGCGAAAGTGAAACGTGTCTTCGCAGAGTTAGTTGAGCGTTTATTATACATTGTTTTGCCTCAAAATTGAATGAATGAATGCTATAGAAACAAATTGCGAAGTCGCGCGAAGAACGGCAAGTAGCTCGAAAATTGCAGCACGCACCTCAACCAGAAAGCACGCACAAAATGAGCATACACAGGACGCGCGCGGACTAACAACTATCACAGCTCGAGACACGCTGTTCAAGCAGAATTAAAGACGCACGAAACTGAAACGAACGCGCAAGAATATACAGGACAAATACTAACCGTTATTACAATTCTAACTTATTCGTTTATGAGAAACATGCTCCTTCGGTAAACGTGGCTGCGGCAGCAGGAGAAGTCACCTTTGTGCTCTCCCGAATCACGAGTCTGATAAACGCGCGCGCAGGAGAGACCACACTCTTGCGGAGGCGGCGCTCATCGAAACGCGAGAGGCGACGAGCGCACTTAACGAGAGCCTGTCACGGCCTCTCACTGCTGATGACAAAAACGCACTGAAGCTGCGGAGCTCCGAGGGCCACCAAACGGTGTATGGCGTATATAAATGGCTCGCCATTAGCAAATTTGGCAACGTGTGCTTCATGGCTTGAAGCGAGAGGGATGTATGTACCATGGGGAAGCAGCTGTCTCCTGTGTAACAAACCTGACACCATTGAACACGTGTTTATTGATTGTAAGAACGCTATTTTCTTTTGGGACATTTTACAGAGGACTTTAAAAAAAGATTTACCTCTTACTTCATATGGAATTCGTTTTTTTTTTGCCTTGTGATAGTTCTGTGCAAAATTTTGATGTTATCTTTTTACTTGGTCTTCATTCGGTTTGGCGTAGTATGCTATCGTGCATACACTTTGATGTGAGAGTTCTATCCATTAATGAGTGTTTCATGGAAGCTGTTATAAAAGTGCAAGATGTGCATAAGACTACCGACTATGTTGAAGATGTAATATCTTTGTTTGACGCGTTATGACGCATGAAGCACGTGTGATAGTGATTGTCATATTAGCTTGACCTGTAGTCAAGAAGGCAATAAAGAAAAAAAAGTGCTTCATGGCCTAGTGGCTAGCGCCGCACGTTGAGGATCGAAAGTTCGCTGGTTCGACACCCCGCGATATTTGGTTCGAACGCCCCATAACTTACCCTACTCGTTTTTTTTTTTTTTGCAAACTGTTAGTATATATTTTAACGTCATATCCATGACAAAAATATGTCGACGAAGCCGTGGCGGACCCCGGCATAAAGCACTTCCGTGTTAAAAAAAGAAAGCGCTCAACGTGATGAGGCGCGCCGACCGAAGGGATGCATCTTCTTGCCCTCTTGTCATTGCCCTCTCGACCTCGCTTTTAGCGCATTCGCTGGTACAAAAGGAGAGCGGAGGCGCCTGAAGAGTGCCACTAATTCCTGTTATTCGTGAAGCGTCACTTACCAGTAATGCAATTATTTCGTTGTAACACAGAAAAGAATAAGCAGGACCTCTTAGGTTTTCATTTCTCTCATAATTTCTAAGCTTTAACGAAAGCTAGAAGTAATGCTCCCCGCGCTTTCTTTCGCTCCATGTGGTCAAGCCTGACTAACAAGCTGGTTCCTTGGTCCAGTCCCCTCTTTAGCTCTGTGCAGTTGATTTATCTAACTTAGTCACACCTTTACTTACTAATAATAACTTTTCTTTTGTTCATAAATTCGACCTAATTAAGTGTGGCTTAAAATGACACAAACCTAACGTCAAACGGAAACTTCAATTCATTGCATTGTAGTTCAGTTCGCGGTCGTCATGGTTTATATCATCTTTATCGTTATTAGCAGCAGCAGTGACAGCAGGCGATAGCAGCGGCTATAGTAGTATGTAACTATACCGAATGTACTAGATATTGTTCAGAGCGCTGGTAAATTACGTAAAGCTGTCAACCCCATAACGAGTGTCTTAAAAACACAGTACTTCACCCTCAGGACATTAACGAAAGGAAATAGAGCAAGACGCAGGCACCGGAATTGGAACGGGCACCAAAAAAAAAATGCAGGAGCCATTAAACGCTCTGATCTGTAGAGGGAATGGTTGGCACAGCCAATCAATGTAAGTAAAGTGGTAGTGCGAGGGCAAACAGGTTGGTCAACGCATAAGAACGTTTTCGGGGTGTCACGAGAGCTGTTTGCACGCCGTCGGCAAGACCGCGGTGCCCTGGACTGGTTCGGAGCCACAGCATGACGGTGCGATCGAATGTCAGCGAGGAATTCGCCCATGCAGAACAGCAAACACGAGCCATCCTTACTGGCGTTCCGAGCAGCGCAGGGAAGGTTTGGCCCGACACCAAGTAACATGAGCCGCTTCTCTTCATACAAAAATGCATAAAGCGCAAATGTGGAGCATGCGGTCTTTCGCCACTCTTCTTTTTTTTGTGAGTTGTTGCAGGCTATATAGTCGATGACGGAGGACGCAGCATTTGGGCTGTTAATAGAGCAGCTACTTGCTTCTTGAGGATCTAGAGTCACTTCACTGCATTAAAAGAACCCAAACTAAAAAGTTAGCCATTGACGGTTTTAGAGCGGCAATTGTCGTCATTGCCGCATCCAACGGTTCAGCGCTACAAAAGCGAAAAAAGCGACCATGTGTTATCTTGTATAGACCCACGTTATTGTATATTTCTGGCCCCGCCGCGGTGGTCTAGTGGCTAAGGTACTCGGCTGCTGACCCGCAGGTCGCGGGTTCGAATCCCGGCTGCGGCGGCTGCATTTCCGATGGAGGCGGAAATGTTGTAGGCCCGTGTGCTCAGATTTTGGTGCACGTTAAAAAACCCCTGGTGGTCTAAATTTCCGGAGCCCTCCACTACGGCGTCTCTCATAATCATATAGTGGTTTTGGGACGTTAAACCCCACATATCAATCAATTATTGTATATTTCTGTGGGGCCTGTGCAGCAACAGTCGGCTCGTTTTGCCTCGTTCATCGAGACTATTATGAAAAATGCACTTTTTAGCAGTTCAAGGGATTGTCAAGCGGTATTGGGCGAACCATAAGAACAAGTGTCCCCGATTCAACTTTCCTTTTTTTCTCCTTTCGCCTAATGTCGATGGTCGCATAAGTTCTTTTTTGAAAGTCCTACTTGACTGAAATACAGCTAGGGGCTGTTCGTAATGCGATTTCGATGCGCTCTTCTTAAAAAGGATTACACGTGCCGTTTGTATGGAGGTTGCCGTTTCAGTGCCTGCCATGCACTGTTTACTATTTTCTTGAGTACAATGTAACAAACCTCCCCTGTCTGTTATCTGTTATCCACACGCACACTCGCTCTCTCAAGCTCGTACCCATAGCTGTGCCTGCACACCGTGTTCCCTGTACTCGCAGTGCGGACGACTATACGCGGGGCTACTTCCAGACGCGCGCCATGATCGACCCCCAGGGCCGAGTGTTCTGGCCGCCGCCCACCAAGTTTCGCAGCACCTGCCCGGTGGACGTGACGTACTTCCCTTTCGACGACCAGGTCTGCACAATGAAGTTCGGTTCTTGGATCTATGACGGGCTACAAGTGAGTGAACCAGTTAGAACTGTTGTTCCGATTCCTCTCAGACAAGGACACCCCTATGGCATCCTTTGAGTATAGCCAAAAAGCAAGCATCTTTGTCGAAGTTATATACGTAAACTAGGATGTTTTTATACCTCCCTGCTCCTCATGAAAACTTATTCTCATCTTTATCCAGATGGGGACGCACGTTATATTCGTCAATGAAGTTGTTACTTCATAGACATCTCTCATTCCTCATAACAAGGCCTGAAGTCCGCCAGCAACCTACATCATTCTCCTCCCATAATATGGGGGTCATTTTTAGTGAAAAATGACAGGCTTATTGTCGAACTTAGAGTCAATATGCCACACAGGCTCAATTATTTGGACATGCTGAGATTAATAGCACGCCTTAATGCAGTGTCATGGTAAACGATTAACTGTCGTAATAAACAATTAGCATCGTTATTGTAATGGGATGCACATTACTTCGGCAGCATTCGCGTGTTTGAAACTGCTTCCAATAAGCAGCAGTTCATCAAAAAGCTTTTCTGGCTTCGTGCGCTGTAGCGCAACCTGGTGCTTACGTTAGGAACACGTCATACTGGTATATAATGTGTTCCAGAGATTAAGACATACTAGGTAATGTGTCGTCATTAGACGGGTCAACTTATGTTTCAGGGTTCTTACGTTAGGCCTGTAGTAGTAAACGTCGTTTAATTAGATATTCTGAACTTATGAGGTTCCTTCCAATTTAGGGTGTGCCTTTGTTTTTTTAATTTGTTATAACTATCAACGTTACGGGGAAACCAGTAGTTGTTACCTATACAGATAAATAAATCTCTTTCTTTTATTCTCTCTTCAATAATAAACAAACTTATGCTGTCAAACTAGAGTTAACATCTTTTCACTCAACGCGTGGGCTTTCCTTTTCGTAATAATGTTGGACGGCTAAAAATTACGAGTCTCAGCTCGCTATGGCAACAGGCCATTATCACCTACTCCAACATCACTAGTAGTTAATGGTGTAGCGTTTAGTTGCCGTCATGTAGACTTCTTAATTTGGTTCAGCTTGCAATATGGTATAAGTCACGTGTCACCGATTAACGAGTCATTACACGGTAAATGTACGAAAAGAGTTTTTAGATGTGAGATTACAAAGTTTCATTGGCTCATGGTTCAACGGCAGCCCCAATGTTTTAGAATAACTTAAAAAAGGTAACAGGGGGCTTGTCTGGTTAGAACATTTTGGCCTTTTTATCCTAAATTTCTCTCTATTTTCTGATGTTTTTAATAATTTTGCCGCAGTAGTTATAGGTCCTTAGGGAATGAAAAAGGGGCTGAAACGTCGTGAAGAGTGCAGACGGACCGCTAACAGGTACAACATAGGTAGAAAAATTGAAAGTATGTCACTCGAATAAACTACAAGATATTTTTCTAATTAAAGGGTTTATCTAGACATTACGACTTTTTCTAAGGAGCACGTTATTGACGCTAAAATGCACTGACGCCAAAGTATTTGTTTTCTTGACCTCAATGCAGCATAAGTTACTGAATAAGGCAGCGTGTTTTGCCAGCTTCCTAATATTGATGACAACGTAATACAGAGAAGAAGATACTGCTAACGGTGAATCACAAGGAGAAAATTCTGAGCCGTCTCAATAAACAACTTTTTTGCGGGGACATGAGTGCGGTAGAAGCAGTTTCTGCAGAGAGAGCATGACCGTTTAGAGTTTTTAGACGTGAAAGTCGTTAGTCAGCATAATCGACCGATATCGGTTACTGAATCAATACTACAGTGCTGTACAGCATCTTACGGTGTTGATTTAGACCAACGAAAGCTTGGTAATCGTCCATGTACTCGATTACCGAACGTGATGTACTTACCATTCTGGAAGCGGAGTAGAAAACTTACCGCGTGTGGAGACTTTGTCTCGCAATAAATAAAGGATAATGTTCTATGTTCTTTTGAATAAACCATGCACTTAACTGTCAGAAGAAGAAACAACAACACATAGCAGAAGAGACAAGAGAAACAAAAGCAAAGTACACGGCTTCTGTTTTTTTTTTTTTTTGGTGGTCGTTCGGCGTTTCGCGCGAAGTAATGTACCAAGCAGCGCAGCAATAATTTCTGCTATTTTCAATGTTACTTCGTTAATATAAACATAATTGGCAATTTAACTCCAATGCTTCGACTCAAAAGCGTTATTTTAAAGCAGAAACTTAATAGCATGTGATCGGTTAACTCATGAACGCTGTTCACTCAGGAGCACTCGCAACTCTTCTCGTATGCGTAAAAATCGCGCAACATAGCGCTGGTGAAAAATTGAAACTCGTGTTATCTCGCTTGTTTGATTCTTTTTCGTGTATCAGTGGCAATACAGAAAGTTCATCTTGTTCGAATTTATCACTTTTACATGCTTACTCTCCGTCATGTATTATACATGCGATGGAAGGCACCACGTCTGAAACTGCATAATAGTCTTTGAGCATTGTGGATGGCAGCGATGATGGCGTGTGATCTTTTATGTCGCAAAGAGCACCAGCTGCAGTGGTCATGTGATGAAAAATACGAGACTGCACAATAAAAATAATTATTTACAATCATTACTTAGTAATAGTTATTAATATTTAATAAATATTAATGAACGCTTCATTCGGGAAGCTAGTGGCTATAGAGCTTTGAAAAATTGTCAGGTTTAGGTATCAGAATCACGTGCGGCAAAAGATTGTTCAGTCGTACTATTTGATCCATGGAAGGGATAAATGATGGCGTCCATTTTTGTCGGGAGAACTTTATATCCTGTGTAGCTTCTCCGAGTTTTTATGGTCCTGATACATGTAACCTATAATCCGTGTTACTGATATACTGTCTCTTCTATGACCGTTAGCAGCAGCTTATTATAATTCGGACATTGTTTAGAGGCCAATTAATCGCAAATCCACATTATGATGACCACGTTATCAAACCGCAATCAGCCTGATACAGGTGGACATCCAGAACCGGACATCCGAGGTTGACCTGGTCAATTACATGCCCAACGGCGAGTGGGAGCTGCTTGAGGCGCGCATGGTGCGCAACGTGGTCTACTACCCTTGCTGTCCAGACCAGCCGTTCCCGGACATCACCGTGGTCCTGGTCATGAGGCGCAAGACGCTCTACTACATGTACAACGTGGTCCTGCCCTGCATCATGATGTCCGTGCTCACTCTGCTCGTCTTCTGCCTACCGCCGGACTCGGGCGAGAAGATCGCGCTCGGCGTCACAGTGCTGCTAGCATTCTCCGTGTTCATGCTGGCCATAGCGGAGAAGATGCCCGAGACATCAGAGTCCATACCCTTACTGGGTAAATGCGATCTCCATCGCTATAATATGCTACATGACTATGCAACAAGTCAAATTCATCTTCATTCATCTTCGCGTAAGAAGTGAAACTACTCGCCTGGCCTCTTTAAAATATATGCAAGGCAGCTTGAATGTAAACTATGAACAAGTGATAAACCAGTTTAGGCGTGTTTATTATACTACACCATATGTGCTATAGAAAACAATAGTATACAACACTGAGGCGTGACTGGCTCCATTGAACTTAACTGCGACAAAATGTGCTCAGGGATAGCCATAGCCCTAAATGCTTTACAACTTAATGTCCTTTTGGGACCCTTCGTGTTAAAGTAGGTAAGTAAATAAGTGAATAAATAAATGGTAAAAAGTGCCAACAAGAAAAATTTTAAAAATTCACACCATTCAAAACTTCATTACGATTCCAGTGTACATCAACGAGCACAGTAAACCACAACCACCCTTAACGACAGCTTGAATAACAACCTCAATTCGTCACTATATTGTGTACTACAGAAGCCGATGTATGCGTACGAGCGGCAAGCTAGACGACGTCGCATATTATTAGCATAGACATTAATCACTGTTTTCATCGTACCTGTTGGTTCCCTCACGCCTATTTTTTTTTTCGGAAACAAAGTACGATAATATAAACGATTAGCACTTCATGGGCACGAAAACATGGCCCTCAGTCTCAAAACTTCTCTTTGTTCTACCAAAACGCAGGAATATACCTGACGGCCGTGATGGCCATCACGTCCATCTCGGTCGTCATGACCGTGATCGTCCTCAACTTCCACTACCGCGGTCCCAGCCGGAAAGAAGTGCCAGCGTGGCTCCGCCGTCTCCTGCTCAACAAGTCATCCTCCAGTCGTGGGTGGTTCTCGAAGCCGGCGCGCCGCAAGACCGTCGGCGACAATCACGTGCACTTCTACGACTTGCCATCGCGCACAGCAGCCGCCAAGGACCACTCAGACCTGGACGACGACGGAGACGGCAGCAGAAGACCTGCGGCCGACGACACCTTCCGGCTCGTCGTAGACAGCGTCGTGATCGGCGGCGAAGACCGCTACGCCCGCGGCGAGTACGCCGAGCACTCCGCGAGCAACGAGTCCCCGAGTCCCGTCCTCCACGGTGACATGTCGCGGAACAATGCCTCCGGGTCGGCCAGGCACCGCCGCTGTCGCGCTGGTGCCGCTAGTGGCGGATCCACTAGGCGCGTGCAGGAAGAAGTGCTGCGGACTTTGCGGTACCTGATGGAGAAACAGCAGCGCGAGGAACACCTCACCCGGACTGTAAACGAGTGGAGACAGATGGCTCTCGTGATAGATCGCACCTTGTTTCTGGTTCTTTCTGATCATCACAGCCGTGTCATCCATCTGCTTCCTAGTCGTCATACCGATACAGAGGCGGGGACTGTGACTGTGACTTGGGCAGAGTTGTGAGCAACTCTGCATTGCCATGACGTGCTAAAACACTTAGAGAGGGAGGGAGCCGGGAGAGATCCAAAAGATACATGTGTCACCATTTTGGATAAACTCTGGTTGTATGCAGCCTGTATTCGTTTCGCCTAAATAATTGGTTTACAACTCTCTAAAATACTAGTACATCGTATAGGCGCGCTGAAGTTTAGCACTTCTCAAGAGTAAACGTTAGAAGGCATCTGCAGCCTTTTTGTTGTTAGAGACAAGTTTACACACAATATTGATAAGCCTAGCCACGAATTCTTGCTATGTTCATCATGGCGTTTGCTAAATACTCTTTAACAGCGCTAATGTTGTCTAATTTCTATAGTCAAGTTGCATCTATTGGGAGAATCAGAGGCGGAATCCACACAGTATGTCACTTGTTACTATTCGTGATTATTGACCATCAAGCTTACATAAAATTTCCAGCAATGTGTTGGCTGAAACTTTCCTTAAATTTTTAAAATATTATGATAATGAGTAAAGAAAGTTATGAGCCAAGTTAAATCTCACCGAGGTTTATCTGAAGAACTACCAATAAAATGATGTATAATTGGTTTCGCTATAACATGGTAAGAACTTTATTAGTCTTCGAAGATATGAGAGTCTTATTATGCAGTGTACACACATGCATCACCTTGAGTGTTGTGATTTTGCTTAGGCAAAATTAAGGTCGAAACGGTAATGCAAGCAATTATGTTTCACATAATATCCTTGTGCCTCCTGTTGGAGTGTTTGTATATTTTCTCCTTGGGAACAAGATTGTATTCGTGCCAAAAGAGCCGCGTTATTACAGATGTGCATGCAAGAAAACAGTGGGCAAACGAAGTGTGTCCACGGAGCTTAATGAATGCAATTATTGGACTACAATAACGTCACTTTCACACTCACTTCTTTGACGGATTACGCGTTTTAAAAAGCGCGATCGTTCATAATGTTTTCATCGAAAACCGCTGTGCTATATTTAGGTATCGTGAGGTTTGTCTTTGTTAGTGTGCCCTACCATCGTGTACAAAACTGGTCGAGAAGAATTCGAGGAGGTGCAGGCAAAAAAAATGTATATTTCTTAGTCTGCAGCCAGTTTCTCCTATAGGATAGCGAACCGCTACTATGGTACTTATGCTGTTCTAAAAATCTAACTTAGCGCAAACCAGCACTCGCACGTTCTCAAGCTTCTGGCATTACTTTCTTAAGGAGGGATTTCATTGAGTGCAATCAGGACAGCTCCATTACCGTTAACTCACCATGTGTGTGATACAACAGACCGTTTACCTGCAGTGCTACAGCATAACTTGTCATAAATGGGCCAGAATGAGTAACCAATTATTAGGTAAAAGTTGCGTAGCTTTTCACGACCACTTTCGCAACACCACAATAAGTATATAGGTATGTGCGACACAGGCACAAAATTCCTGGGAACATGACTCAATTCACAGGATTCACCTCTGAATATTTTTTTTCTTTGCATCTTAGACTGCATCTTCATTATTCAACCATCTTTAGGCTTGCATAGAAACTTTCCCACTTATTTCCTGTGACGGTAGTACTGAAAGTACGTACTAATCTTTAGACAAGTGCTCAGAGTAACACAAGCACATCGTTTGCTCAATACTACACTAATCATAGTATTCTTCCGGTAGATGTATATCGTGCTAGAGACTTGTCTATTGCTTGTAGCTTCTGTAATAGTAATTTTACGCATCCAAAGTGCGATCATATAGTTGCTTGCAAGGCACGAGGACTGATAAAATATACTACTACAGCGTCTACAGCGTTTGTGTCTTGTTTTTGTTGTTCTTACGTTGTTGATTGGTGTGAGCGGTTGATGACGTAGCATTGTCATCACAAACAGCCTGTTGAACGCGTATGGCATCTTTGCTGTCGAGAATACCAGCAAAACTGAAACGGAGCGTGCATGGAGCATTCTGCGACCAATCTACGACCCCGATTTGTATGTGATTTGATTAATAAAGTCTGTGCTCAGGGAAGACAGAAATTTCGACGGCATAACGCAGCCTCGGGCACCACTAGCAACGCACTTAAGCGTTTGTTTTATAGAAAATTTTCTTCTCTCGCTATATTGCGATCGCTTGTTGTTGTTGGGCCTGCTTAAGTTCTCTCAGATGCACCTATGCACAACCGTTCTTTTGACGCCCGAGTCATATCACTGCTCAGACCGAAATGCGGACGAGGGCCTGAGCAGCGGTGTGACTTGAGCGCACTATTTCGTGTTTTTGCACAGAGATATTTCCTACTTAAGGCTTCCTTCTCAAATCCGAATGTGGATTTTGTGTTAGGAGCGCAAAATTTGTTTGTCTCCATGCACGCGTGCTGCTTTAGCCTTACTTGTGTTTTGGGGCGAGGAAATCTTTGTAGTTGTTCTTGCAATAAACGACCACTACAGGAGTGACTCCTTCATTTTGCCCGTGGGATTTCAGAGAGCACAATTAAAAAATCACAGCATATCAACGGAGTGAATGACGATGAGTGGGCGAAGCTTCGGAGGTACACTGGTAAGACGATAGTTATAGCGCGAGAACAAAACGACGACACAGAGACAAGAAGGAGACGAAGGACTTCTTCTCTCTGTGTCGTCGTTTTGTTTGCTATAACTCTCGTCATGCCATACCAACTAGCCCAAGCTGCCACACTTCTAAGGTACATTGGTAAGCCGTGAACACAATTAATAAAAGGTTGTGTGGAGGCTAGGGGGAACATAATGTAGGTAAAGGCTGCGCTGCGAAGTTAAGGACCAAAAACTGGGTTAATCTAGTCTATGTTAGTCCAGTTTTTTTCGTCCTTAACTTTGCAGCGCGGCCTCTACCTACATGAATCCAACTTGCAGCCGTTCCAGAGTTTCGAGGAGCCTGCCCCAGTATACTTCCTCGACAGAAAGCGTGAGAAATGCGTGCCCAGATGGCGAATCATGACAAGGAGTTCCTTGCGACGTTATTGCCAGTATTGCACGCTGTTGGGTTCACCCCACATAAAGGCCAGATCTAGGTTAAGCACTTCGTCCATGAACTCTCACCTGGTGCTCTCGAGTTGCTGCCGTGTGAATGAGCTGGTGATGGGAACGAGCATCGCAGCACCATCCAGTGAGCACTCCGAGTACTAGCCATGGCTACGACGGACAACGGCGGACAAGCCCACACTTATAAGCAGCTTCGCCCCGAAAAAAAGAAACGCGTTTACCAGAATGGAAAACACAGATTGATTAGATTTGTGGGGTGTAACGTCCCAAAACCATCATATGATTATGAGAGACGCCGTAGTGGAGGGCTCCGGAAATTTTGACCACCTGGGGTTCTTTAACGTGCACCCAAGTTTGAGTACACAGGCCTACAACATTTCCGCCTCCATCGGAAATGCAGCCGCCGCAGCCGAGATTTGAACCCGCGACCTGCGGGTCAGCAGCCGAGTACCTTAGCCACTAGACCACCGCGGCGGGGCGGAAAAACACAGAAGCTATAGAATATGACAGCGTGTCCTCAGTGAGCGAGCTGTCATGTCGCGAAAGAAGTAGTGCCTTTTGGCACCACACTATAGTCTTGTAATCGAGCTGGTAAATTGGGAGATTCAAGACAGTCATATTGAAACGGCGTGTTACAAAACGAGAGACGAAGAAGATGTTGGCGCATGCGTTGTGTATACCCCTCTTCTTGCCCTTCGTCTTTTAATGCGCTGCTGCAATGAAACTTGGCAAGTCATGGTTGATCACGTAGGCATAGTCATCGGCTCTTTCTTCAATAAATACTAAACATCCACCGACCCTCTGCGCCGCAGTCATCGCCTTCGTAATCATCGCCGGGACGTCTTCGCTGTCGCCATTGGTCAGCTACCGCCATGTTGAATGGCGACAAGCTGAAATTCCCAACAGGGTGCCTTAATCTATGTTGTCTGTGTTCTTTTCTTTTTCAATCGGCCACTTCACGTTAGTGCACCATCGATGCCTTCGCTGTGCATGTTTGTGCAACCACGCCGTTAGGGGAAGAAAAAAAGCTACGCAAAGGGCAATGATTCACGCCCCGTGCATTGCAACGAAATCAAACTAAATTACGTTTTAGGTAACCGATATAATTGCCTAAATCTGCCGACTCTCCGTTTTGTTGTTGTAGATTTCAGCCCAGTAGCTCGACGACATTGTGAGATGCGCGCGGGCGCTGCGTATCTGTATTGCAGTCGCTCGCACTCAACACCCGTCGCCATTCTAGGCTATTTGCGAACGCACCGCATGCTTTTCCATTGTGAGCGCAGAGCCAGGCGGCATCTTCTGCGGAGCGGGGCTCCGGGCAGTGATTGAGCGTATGATCTAGGCTGCAGACAGTGCGGGCATTGTTGCGCGCGTCGCGTGCGCTGAGCACCGATCGACGCGAGGGTGTCTTCCCTCCTCCCGCATCCCATTGAAGCGCAAGGGCGTCAGAAGCAGGCGCCCTCGGGGCCTTGTTCTAAAATTGACCTCCTCTTGGAGCGCGTTGGTATCGAACGCCGCCGTAAGGTGTCTCTCTTTCTCTTGCTATGAGGCCGTGCCATCTTCCTCTGATGATGTGCCCCGCGTGTTTCGCATGCGTTCTTTCTCGATAGTTCTTTTTTTTTTGTTTTTGTTTTTTTGCTCCTGTTTCTGCCATTAAAGCTTTACGATATATAGCACAGAACAAAAAAGCAAACAAAAAAAGAGGAACCTCTAAAGGTTCTTTATGCATTTGTCTAAGACTACCCGAAAGCCAAAGCCATCTTTTTTCAATAGCTATAGATGAAATATCAGGTGCCCGCAAAAATCTCTCCCCCCATTGTTGATCGGCCGCGGCCACAGACGGAGACAGGACGCGCAGCAGCTGCGCCGAGTGTGCCCGTCGCGCTAGCCGAGTACAAGGGACGAAAGGCCCGCGCTGCTATAGTGTACTAGTCTAGCACTGCTACCAGTGTTGCCAGAGCAAGCGTTACACGTTAGCTTTGGCGCTCGAGTTTAGAAATTCTTGCATAGTCTGTGGCAGGCTGTGGTTCGACTCAGTCTACGCCTAGGAAAAACCGAGCATCAGCCTTAAGGCAACGGCAAGCATATATAAGTTACAACCAGCTTCATTAAGCTTTACACGGCCAGCGTAAACTGCGTTCTTTTTCTTACAGCCGATTTTGCCAGGCCCATAGGCGTGCGTACGGGGGTAGGACTGCGGGGGGGGGGGGGGGATCAGTTTCATACTTGACGTAATAGGGAAGGGGACGCTGCGATGAACTTTCGCTTCCTCTGAAGAAGAACCCTGCTCACGCAAATGAACGATGCCCTACCCCCTCCTCTTTCCGAAAGCTTTCGGTCTATAACGCGGTTTTGCATTGCCTTCGAGATTGGAAGCATTGCAGCTTTCTGCATGCACCTCACCTGCTTTTACACCGCCTCAGGAATCCGCC